GATCATATATGGTTTCAAACGGCATTATATGACCCCGATATGTATCCCCCAAAATATTAATATTTTTCTACACCGGGCCCTGAAACCTCCAAAATTTCTCAAAAAGAGTGGATAGCCTTCAATTTTGATTTTTTTTTATTTTTTCGCCCAGAAATAAAAATTGCCGAAATATTTACCATGGTCCCTATAACCCTCCGGGAGTCCAATTGGGTGGGTGGAACCGTCCAATTTTCCTTTAAACGACCAAATTACCGGTTTATAACTTGCACCGATTTCATTAATTCAAACCTACTACGAACATTTATGACAACAAATAATGATCATATATGGTTCCAAATGGCATTATATGACCCCGAGATGTGTCCCATAAAATTTTAAGACTTTTCGACACTGGTCCGTAAAACCTCCAAAATTTCTCAAAAAGCGTGAATATTAGCCTTCAATTTTAAATTTTTTGACTTTTTTTTTTGCCCGAAAATACAAATTGCCGAAATGTTTACCATGATCCCTAATACCCTTTGGGAGTCCAATTGGTTGTGTTGAACCATTCAATTTGCTTTGAAACAATCAATTTACCAGTTTACAACTTGCATCGATTTACCTGTTTACATCGACCAATATAATTAACTTGCACCGAACCCGAATTGAACCGAAATTGACGCATATCCATTTTAACCTGTAAAATCCTAATTTAACCTGACTTATTACAAACCCGACTTGAATTTAACCTGACCGTTCCTGACTCGACCCGAATTTAACCCAACCTGTTACAAATCTGACTCGAAATCAACCCGACTTGTTATTGACCACACCCAAATTCAACCCGACTTGTTATTGACCCGACTCGAATTTTTACCATACCTATTACTTACTCAACCCAAAAAGTCAATCCGACTTGTTACTAACCTGGCTCGAAATTAACACGACTTATTATTGACCTGACTTAAATTCAACCCAAATTGTTTCTGACCCTATTTAAAATCACCTTAAATGAAATTTAGACCACCTTATTATTATTAATCAAAGCATTTTGTTTTGGGAGACCAAGTCCGTCCAGGCCAGCAAAAGAAAGGATCATCATCCTCAAATTTAAGAGTTAAATATAATATATATTTGTTGTATGGTCAAAGGAGATAAATATCTTCCTAAGTTATAGACTATAGTTCCCTAGTATATTGCCATATATATTATAGTCAAAGGAAATAATTAGATTGATAAAAATGATAATTACCTATTTATAGTAAGTTGAACCCGAATATGACCTGACTTGGAAATGACCCGACCTAATTGTAAACTGCAAATTATTGACTTGAACATAACCCGACTTGAATCCGAGAATGACCTAACTTGAAAATGATCCAACCTGATTATAACCCGCAAATTATTGACTTGAACCGAACCTGACTTGAACCTGAGAATGACTCGACTTGAAAATGACCCGACCTGATTATAATCCTCAAATTATTGACTTAAACCGAACCTGACTCAAACTCGAGAATGACCCGACCTGATTCTAACCCGCAAATTATTGACTTGAACCGAACTCGACTCGAACCCGAGAATTACCCTAACCCGTTTTAACTCGTGAAAATCCGAAATAAACGCGAACTATTGTTCACCCGAATGTAACCTGGCCTATTATATATTAACCCGACCTAAACCCGATAAGAAGTATGACTCGACGTGACCCGACTCAAGTATGACCCAACCCAAACCCGACCCGCATAGGTTATGGAATTATTAATCTGAATTAACCCGACCCGACTTGATCCGACCTACTCTTACTCGACCCAAATTAAACCCGACCCGTTTACCCGAATTGACATCTCTACTCCCAGCGAGTTTCTTTACTCGCCCGAGTCTACTCCAACAACTATCTCCATCATTTTCTTTATTCACATGAGTAATAACAATTTGAGTGGGCTATTTTAGTTCAAAGGTGGGGTGAGGGGTGGGAACGAGGTTGACCTTGGAGCTTGACCACCAGAACAACAAAGACGAAACCTCATAGCTTGACCTTGGAGCTTGATCGAAACGAAATCAATGGTGATGGGTGGGAACGAGGTTTCCGATTCAAACCTTGGAGCTTGCTGTTGAGGAGACTTGTGGGATTTGGGTCGGCGTGGCTCAGGTGGCGGGGTGGGGCTGGGGTTGCATCTCAGGCGGTCAGTTTGGTGGTGATAGTGGGAAGGTGGTCAGCTCAGTGGTGGTGGGTGGTCAAGGTGGTTAAATGAAGGGGGTGAGGTGGAAAAAGAAGATTAATAAAATTTAAACTGTAAAACATGTTGAAGGTAAAAAGGTTCATTTTGGGAAAATGGAATTACAAGGTAGGATTATTTCTGGAATTCAAAAAGGTGGGATTATTTTGAGTAGATAGGCGAAAGTTGAGATGATTCTTTTTAATTTTTCCTTCATAAAATTGTTTGTCTAACGAATCTGGACGTGTGATTGGCCAATTCCAGAAGAACGAGTATGAGTATAAAACAGATATGGGAAAACATCAAGAATACAATAACGGAACAACAATAATATAAAATTCTCAAAGTGAAAACATTCATACAATGTTAGAGTACCATCTCAACTAAAAGGTTAAGCTGATAGTTGAGGCGCAAAAATATGATTTATACTCTATCAAAGATCGATCGAGATCCTCTAGCTACACAATAGCTAGATTATTACAAACGAAATTACTTCAAGTCAATTCATCATATCAATAATTTAACTCGATTAATTTGCACTCTTCTTTTGATATTCCATGACCCAAGTATCACAAGCGAAACAAACCAAACGAAAGACTTCAAATCCAGCCTCTTTGCCTAAGGCCTCGTACTCTTGTTTTCCTAAGGCCTCGCACTCTTGTTTAGTTCTTGCTTTACCATTAGTAGTTAATTGACTAAGCTAGTTAATTCATTAAACGATATATATCAAGGTACTTTATACTTATAATTAAAAATATATACTTCCTTTGTTTTTTTTAGTTGATTCCGTTTGACTTTTACACTGTTCATACAACACGCTTTGAGTCGCTTTTGTGGTTTATTGATACAATAAAACATATTTATGTGGGATCTTGTTTGAATCATTTCAATGTATATTTTATTAATATCCACTTTTTATAATTTTACAATGTTAATAATTAGAAATATTAATCGTTTTAAAACATGCGTTGGCAAGCGTGATAATAGAAAGATGTTAACTAAAAAAAACAAAGGAAGTATTATATTTGCGGAGTAGTTTCCTAATGGATGTATGTCAATGTTCATTTCATCACCGATAATGAAATAAGAGTCTAAGTCGTCCATGATCAATAATATACTACCTTCGATTTTTTTTTAGTTGCAACTTTGGAATATTTTATATCTCACAAATAATACTTGCAACTAAAAAAAATCGAAGGTAATATATAATACCTACTTATGCTATGATAAAAGTTGTCACTCAAGACTAGCTTTTACGCAATTATCTTGAAATAATTTGTCAAAATTCAATGTTAATCTGTTTTATAATTTTTTAAAAAAATATACTACCTCCGTTACAGGTTATGTGCAACGATTAGACATTTTCCCTCTCTACTTTATGTCAAATTGTAGCACATAATAACCTGTAACGGAGGTAGTATTTAGAAAAATCAAAATGTAGGTTATGACTGCAGTACAACTGATATGGACATGTGGTGATTGGTGGAACTTAATGTCTCCTTAATTAAAATGTATGAAGCGAAGCTGGCGAGCTGATGATGATACACATTTTTTATGCTTCAAATAAATCTTGTGTTTGGGATTTTCAGACAAGTGTTGCAGGATTCCAATTTGCGCGCAGATATTTATCACTCGTCCTTGAGTACCACGGCTACCACCTTCAGTCCAGCGAAAGAAATTTTAGTTTTGATTAGTGATTTTTTTGTTTGTTTTTTGAGGACTTGATTAGTGATTAATTGGATTAGTTGAATTTTTTTTTTCCTTTTTCTTTTTTTAAAAAAAAAGTAAGATAAATGATCATTAAGAAATCTTACTCGCGAGGAGAAAAATCAAGATTCTAATCGATATACTACATCTGTTCACCTTATTTTGTTCTAATAAGTTTAGATAAAATCGGGTATGAATAGAACACATTCCATCTTCTTAAGAGAGGGTAAGGAAATAGCTCAAGTGGATAGAGCTTTCCTCCCGATTCTAGGAGTTCATGGCTCTCTAAACAAGGAAACCCTTCAAATAATCAAATCATGAAGAACATATTAGAGATGCCTACTAACACTAACCATTAGTGGGAGTTCACATATATAAGGAGTAAAAGCTTATTTTTCTCATCAATGTGGGAAAAAGACCCTTTTCCCATAATAAATAAAAGATCAATAAACAAAAGGCAACCCTCACGTACTTCAAAGTTTCACAATATGCTAACATCATTATATCATTTTCTTTATTCACAACTAATCCCATTTTACCTGCAATGACCTAGGCATTACTTAGGCCAATAACTAATACTCCGTATAATATACTACTTTCTATTATATATTATTATGTGTTACTTTGGAGAATTATTTGTAAGATATGTATTAAAAAAATTCAAAAGTTCACATTATGCACTTGTAATAATGTTAATGTTTATGCATAAATCATGATGGAATAATGGCTCAAAACCCAGTATTATCTATTGCACACAAAACAACCAAATGTATTATTACAACTCATAATGAAATATGCAAGACATACATACGGGGTAGTGTCAAATAAAAGGGCTGAACAACAATAAAATAAAATTCTCAAAGTGTAAAAACATTCAAATGATAAAAGATGGACCAACGATTGGCGGACCCAGGAATTTCCGACTGGTGAGTCACAATTGATAACCAAATATGTAAAAAGAAAAAATTTACCAAAATTCCCAAGAAAAATTATTTACAAAGATCATCCAAATAGAAAATTGACAAGATTACAGTACTAACTAATAATTAACAAGCTTAAAATTGACAAGACTAAAATTAACAAACTAATAATTAACAAACTAATAATTGACAACATGACAAGCTTAGCTTTCTAATAATTAACAAACTAATAATTGACAAGATTAAAATTTGTACAAGCATTAGGTTCACATTTCATCAAAAACCCAACAACATTAACAAAAGGTTCAAAGTTAGTATTTTTTTTTTAAAAAAAAAACTTAGAAAATAATTTATTTATTTATTTTTTTTAAAAAAACTTAAAAAATATTTTGGGCCCTGGTGAGTCATTTGACCCACCAGGCATAAGGCCAAGTCCGCCAATGCCAACGAACATCCTCTAGCTACACAATAGCTAGATTATTACAAACGAAATTTCTTCAAGTTCATTCATCATCATATCATTAATTTAATAACTCGATTAATTTGCAATCTTCTTTTGATACTCCATGACCCAAGTATCACAAGCGAAACACACCAATCGAAAAGCTTCAAATCCAGCCTCTTTGCCTAAGGCCTCGTACTCTTGTTTGGTTCTTGCTTTACCATCTGGAAATGTTAACATGATTGCGTCCCAAATGAAGGCTGTATGAGCCTGGTAGCTAGTTTTCGGTGTTTCGGGTACAACGTACTCGCAAATTATTACTTTGCCTTCTTCTGGTAATGCTTCATGGCAATTTTTCAATAGTTTCACACATTGTTCATCGGTTCCTGATTGAAAAGTCCACTGAAAATAATGTACATGAAAATTTATTACAATCCCAACAAATTAAATATGATTGAAGAGCAAGTGAATAACCAACTCTAATAAGATCTCACATAATTATATTTATTCGTTAGTAGGAGTATAAGTCATCATATATAGTCAAGTTGTTTATAAAAAATGTTGCAACTAGAATAACAAAAATAAAAACAAATAAATTATTAAGGGCTTGTTCACATGTACTTCATTTCAGTTCAGTTCAGCTCCAATCAGTTTAGTTCAGCTCTTAATTTCCCTCTCTCATAAAATATTCATTTCAGCTCAGTTCAATTCAGCTCCAATCAGTTCAGTTCAGTTCAATTCACTTTAATTCAGCTTAGTTCAGTAAATATGAACATACTCTAATTTTTCATTTGACTACTCCGTATGAACAAAGTTCAATAAATTAAATAATCTTCACCCAAAAAATAATAATAAATTATTTATTAAATGTACCTTCATAAATATAGCATCAGCCTTAGGAACACTGTCATACATGTCCCCTCCAACATGTTCAACACCTGCAAGTACATATATAAAAATCATCCAATAATAATCGTACGAACTACAATAAAGATCTACAAAGTACAACAAATTAAATAAATAATTAAAACTATTAATATGATAGATAACAAGAATATTTCATACCAGGAACTGATGGCGCATCTCTAATAATATGAGGTAGGTCAAAATTAATAGCCTTAATTATTGAAGGATATTTAGAAAGGATCATTTTAAGAGTAAGACCAGTTGCACCACCAACATCAACAATTGATGATATACCCTCAAATCCTTTGTAAATATCAAGAAATTTCTTCATAACAATGGTAGAATGATGGTCCATTCCATCATAAAAAACCTTGTAAAATCGCGAATCTGTTCCTAGATAATCGAATATGCCCATACCATATTGCTTCTCAAAAGGATTTCCACCAATCAATACCGCGTCTTTCAAATGTTTCCTGCAATATTTTGAGGTAAGTTAAAAGGTATTGTTGCAAAATATGATTATCAACCACGAAAATAATATGTGTACCATGAAAATAAACTAGGTTATGTAATATATATGGCTTCTGATGTGAACTCTCTCTTATATCGAATAGATATCGTATGAATATTTTTTAATGAATAGAAAGGAAAGAAAATAGAAGGAAACACGAGTCAAACTTACCAAGTGTCCATGATAATCTTATCATGCATAAGATTAGCAAAAGCAGCATAAGAAACTTCATCATCATTCTTAGCCAAAAATTGACAAACTGGGCCAAGCCCATATAGCCTCTTAGGTTGTCCATTAGGACCAACCTTTTGAGTGCAAGTGAGTATAGTAAAGCTAGCCAAAAGGCGTAGCATACGGTCTAGGGCTACCGCGGCATTAGGGTTAGTGGTGGGTAATTGAGCCACAATCTCCTCCGCGGAGAGCTGAGCCTTAGGGCCAGTGTTGTAGATGATGTCGAGGACGTGCATCTCTAGCACGGTTTTGAACACCATGGACGGAACGGACCACGTAGCCAAGCACATAGCCATACAAGAGGCCTCCTCCTCGGTTGTTGGATGGATTTGTGCTTCATTGCTACCAATGATTGAACTCATTTTGTTTGAACAAATAGAAATGTGTTTAAAGAAGCTAGTGTTTTGTAAAAATATACTCTGTATATATTTTATCTTATGGCTTCAAACACCTAGGATGAGAAGAAATGAAACAAGGTAATGAGAATATTTATAGTAGCTATATAGTACCTACTCTACACAAGTAATCGTATTAAATATGACACCATAAAATGCCACCTTATCGTCAGTGTTGGTGGTCCAAAAACTCGTGATTCACATGGTCACGTATTAGTAGTTTTTTTTAATTAAACGATATATATATATATATATATCAAGGTACTTAATTATATAATACTACGTATAACATATACATCATATTGGTAAAGTACTACGTAGTTTGATAGTTTCTAATAATGCATATGTTATATAAATTTTTATTCATCACCTCTAATAAAATAGGAGTCTAAACCGTCCTTCAAGATTAATGATTACAAGTTCATACGGAGTACTACTTGATAATTAATGGTAAAACTATTTAAGTTTATTTTTGACAAACTAGCATCTATATATTAACGCCTTTTCAGCTTACCTATAATGATACTCCCTCCTTTTTTAAATACTTGCTCCATTTCTATTTTTTGCACTATTTATTTGTTCTACTTTGACTAATGTTTATGATTTATACATAAGAAAAAATATATTCTTGTGGGTACTTGTTGAAATCATCTCAATGAATAGATTATTAATTTTCAATTGTTAGAATTTATACTTATTGGTAATTAAAGATATTAGTGATCAAAGATTAGCATCGGTATGCGTGTCCAAGAGAAATGGAGCAAGAATTTAAAAACGGAGGGAGTACCTATGTACACTCTGTACTCTTTTTTTTTAAAAAAAAACTATTCTAATTCTATTTTTAATGTGGTAATTATTAAAGAAATTAAACCCACCAAGGTTGACCAAATGCTAAATCTTTTTTAAAGGTAAAATCTAACTTAAGGTTTGTTCTTTTCAGATTATTTTCACTTCAATTCAGTTTTCTTAATTTTCTTCTCTCATAAAATATACAGTTCAGTTCAGTCAATCAGAACCAACCCTTAGTTATACGAATTACGAAGTAAAGTTTTATAAGAATGCTAGCCAAATAACAAACCAGGTACAGTAAAGAGGCGATGCCCTGGGAGTAAAGAATGACACCGATCATAGTTACTTAGTTAGCAATCGCATGCTCCTTTAATTTTACATGTGCAACATAAGTTTGGCCAAAAGATTTTTTTTTTTTTTTTTTTTTTTTTTTTTTTGACATGAGCTTAAAACTAACAAAAAAAAGTCAATTAGATTCATAAAAAATTAAACAATCTTGAGAATAAATTGTTCTTCAAAAAAGATTGTGTCGCTTTAGTATCTTTGATACAATTACTTTATAGGATATTGTCTTTGATTATACTGGATATTACTTGTATCTTTTATGTACAATTTTTTATTTGTTAATCATTTGCTAGAATTGAACTCTCATTTGTCATTTCATTATTGTAAACACTTTAAGCATTTTTACTATCTTACAAGTACAATTTACCATCTTTTCCTTCATTTTCTACTTTTATATTTTCCATAGTTTTATTGATTGTAATACTAGTTACTAAACGTAGTAATTTAAGCATAATATAACACCAAAAAATATTTGTCTTATAAGAGTTGTAACTTATAATCACACTTAAGGAATAAAGACTACTTTAGAAATTTAAGCTCTACTAGTAATAATAAGAATAATACCTGCATTGCTTGCAAACAACTCTTTCCTCTATCGTATTCACGTAGGGTCTGTTCTCATTGACTAAACTCAGCTGAACTGAACTGAATATTTTATAAGAGAAGGAAATTAGGAGCTGAACTGAATTGAAATGAAGTGAACTATAATGAACTGAACTGAATTTCAACGTATGAGAATAAGCCCGTACTTTGTTTAAATTTTTATATCTACCTAATCAGACAATTTCTAAATTATCATCATTATTAATTAAATAATTGAGATTCAACTATATATTGGGTAATTTACCAACTCTTTTTAGATCTATTGGAATGTTTAGTCATTTTTTTTTTTTTTTTTTTTGAAGAAATAGTCATTTGTCTTACTCCGTAACAACTCTATATATCAAAATATTAACTGTCGATTTGTTATTTAGCATCATTTGTTTATTATTTGTTTTTATTTCAATGTTTCCCACTACAACTTTTTTAAAAAAAAAACAAAAAAATCATGCTTTCCGCTAGGAGTAATCTAGAATGTCTTGACTCTTGATCAATGATGTTCGTCTTACTCTCACTAATTTAACATTTATATTTAAAATAATCTTAATATGGTGGATTACATAATAAGTTTCTAATCTCATGACTAATTTCTTACTTTAATGGGATTAATGTTAATATCTTATTGTACTATTTCGTATATTTGTTTTGGCCGGCTGGCCGCAAATCGTGCAATTTATATGTTAATAGAGTTACTATGGAGTAAGACTTATTGTGTCCTACTCGTATATTATTAAAAGCTCAATTCCACCAAGACGTGAATCTTAGATTAAGTGTCGTTGTTCATCATATGTTAAATCAATTGATTATTATGTTAATAACAATATACGTCTTAGTCTGTAGTAATTAGATTATTATATTAATAACAATATACGTCTTAGTCTGTAGTAATTAGATTATTATTACAATATTACACATAAACTGCATCATATGCTGCCAAAATTAAAGGTCAAAATGATCAATCATATGAAAAATGATATACGTAGCAAAGTACAACCAGTTGTATGATAAAACTTGTCAATCGTCAAGAAGACTAACTTTTGCGCAATTATTTTGAATTTTCTATTTATAAATAGAAAAAATCAATACTCAGTTGCAGTACAATCACTGATAAGATGAACTTTAATGTCTCCTTAAAATGTGTGAGGCGAGCTGATGATCTGATACACAATTTTAATGCTTCAAATCTTGTGTTTGGGATTCTCAGACAAATTGCAGGATTGAAATTTGCAAATTGTGCACGAGTACCACGGCTACCACCTTCATTCAGTCCACGGAAAGAACTTTTGATTAGTGATTAAATATTTAAATGGATTATTTGAACTATGATCCATATATATATATTTTTTAATAAGTAAGATAGATAACCATTAAGATCAGAAATCTTACTAACTTATAGAAAAAATCAAGATTTTGATCACTACACTACGTATACATTATAAACTCCCTTTTTTTTCCTCTAATTGCAACAATTTGAGTATTTGACTTTTTCAACTTGATTTGTACTTATAATAAACAAATTTTGTCGTGTGTTGTGAATTAGTCAAAAAGTAAATTTTCATTACACTAATACTTTTAAGTTCATACTAATACAAAATTAACAGTATTAATGATTAAAGTTGTGTATCATCAAGCATGTCAATCAAACTATAACAATTAAAAAAAACCCTTTGCTGATAAATTATACTCCTAACCTTTTCACTACTCGTATATAACAGGTTGTACCTTATACATTATAATACAACTAAAGTCTTTTCTTAACTCAATTGTTTATTTGAGAGAACTCCAAATTAGTGAAAGTAATAGTAGTGTCTTGCATACACAACTACACAAGATACAACTAGAGGTGGTTATTGGGTAGGGTAACCCAATGATAATAGGGTCAGGGCCAAGCTTATAGGGCTTTTAATGGACAAAACTTTTATTGGGCAGGGTCAATATAGGGCCAACATGTTTTTCCAATTTAATTGATAAAGAAAATACATAATGCAAAAATAATTATATAGATAAATTTGTATTCATATGTATATATAATGGCTTTATCCAATATTTATTTTAATTGATATTTTGTAGGCCCGCCATTATCGACCCGCTAATGACCTGCGACCCGCATTAACCCGACCCTATATTGACCCTATAAAATGTGACCCTCTTTGATCCGACCCGCAACCGACCTTGACCCAACCCACCCAATAACCAGGTCTAGATACAACATTAATGCTACTATGTTTTCCTTATATATAGACACATTCTATCTCTGAAATATTCTCTCAAAAGTTAATTACGTTACACATCTAAAGACTTTAACCTACCCAATTGTGTAGCCCAATATATTAGTGGCGGCCCACTTCTTATGATATGGTCAAGTTGCCAACCCATTATGAATGCCATTTTTGAGAGAGAATCAATAAGGATTAATGATGCAACACATAATTGGTCACCTATATAAATTAAAGTTTAATTTATGTAATTAAGCTAGTTGATATCCAAATATTACAAGTACGTATTATCAATTATATCATGAAGTGTTTAAAAAAATATGTTCGTGAACAAGAACAAAGTAATTGGTTGGCAATAATAACAAATAATAGTAGCACACAAAAAACAACCGACCATAGTACTGAAAATGATTAAAGAGTGCACAATGTTACATCTCTGCACTACACTTAGAATTTCGATTCTGAAAAATAATCAAAAACCATTTTGGATCCCTTTCTTTTTCCCTAAGAATAAAGGACTTTTGAAGCAACAAATGTTGATCACAAATAAACAGCAACAAAGTAGAATTGCTGTATAAAACCGACGATTAAGTGAGTAATTTTCATCGAAACACATTAAAAGGTGTTACGTTGTTCATAATGCTCGCGATTTAATGATGTCGAAGCTCATCTCACTTGGATCTGTAGCCTGTAATTCAACTTGAATTCCATCAAGCTCTCTCTTGAACCTGTCCTTTGAGCTTGCATACACCATCTTCATTCTCACCCTTGATGTATCTGGAGACCTACATTTATATTACATACATTTCACTCGATATTAATTATGTAAAAAGTCAAAATGATGCATCTATTGATACATAAACTTTATACTCTCGTATGATCAACTGATGATGTCAATCTATATATGACAACAATATGCACAACATTTTAGTATTGTATTGTACATATGTGATATATTGCATACTATAGTCGTGTATGTTCTCTTCATTTGATTTTCACTTTAATTGAAACCACGAAGTATCAAAATAGACATGTAACAATTATATTATATTATGATTAGCACTTTCTATAGTTTTTCATGCAAGAACATGAAAATGAATGGCATACGTACCAGGCAATGAAGAAAATCTTGCTCTTCTGGCAGTTCTCATCAGTGGTGAAATCGAAGTCGAAAACGGCATAACGACATTCATCAGCAGGTAAAGAGTTAGTAAAATCGTCATAGCTCTCCTCAGGGCTTCCAAACTTATCCACCACCACTTGTTGGCCTTCAATCTTAAAGGTAATAAAGCGGTATGTTCTCTTTGCTTTTAGCTCATGAAACTTGAGCTTACATTCATCATCCACAGCCATACCAGACGCAGCGTTCGCCTATATTTTTGACCCCGAAAATTTCCCATTTCATCACAACACCATATATATGGTTAACATATAGTACAACAACATAGAATAATAACGTTACATGTAACAAGTGCTATTGTTGATTATCATGTAGCTCAAATATCCTCATCATATATTCACGTTACAAATGTAGAATATGTAACAAATAATGTATAGTAACGCTTTTTGTGACGTGATTCACACAACCTATAGCAACATTGAGAGTTACCTATGCAATATCGATAGACGTCTATTACCAAACCTATGAAAAATTTAACCTAGAGCAATGTTGTTCATTATGGACTATAAATCTATAATGTTGATTGACCAAAAGAATGCCAACTTCTAATTATTATTTTTATCTCTTATTCCAATCCTAATTGTACGTCCATTTAATGAAATCATTTATGATTTATGTGACTAACAAAGGCTAATGCGGACTATATATTGTTTTGAACAAAGGGGGTAAATTATAGTAATGACTAATGGTCGTTAACTCGTGATTATTTTGGTTGTAAGGTAACTTACAAAGATTAAGTGATTTCATTGAATCAAAAGGTAATGTTTTAGTTGACTAGTAACAATATTTTTTTTTTCATTTTATCATCATAATTTGACTTTAGATGAATATAAATCGGAATTGATCTAGTCAAATACAGAAACAAATTTCCCTGTCAGCCGTAGGAAAGAACAATTCAAGATTATGGTGCTACATGACATTTGTCAATAGACAAAGCATATGATTCTTCTACATTGATCAAAATTCTATCCTAGAAAATAGTTGAAGAAAAATAAAAAAAGTTTGTAGGCAACATTTGATCAACGCTAAGTTCCAGCTTCCAACAACATACAATAATATCTTAAGATTGTGAGTGTGTGTGATTTTTTTTTTTTTAATTCATGTTGTATCATGCATGGCAATGATCATAAAGAATCAAACTTAGATATGTAGAGAATATTCTACAACTTGTGGACATACATAAACATGCAAATGGATGGTTAAGTCTTATTAGTATGTTCATTTAAACATGTCTCCTAAGTATCCATATTTTGGCGAATCTTGATTTATAATAACAATAACTCTCGTTATGGATGATCAAATAAATATCATTATATATGCACAAATGTATTTAAAACAAGAAAAGTAATCAAGAAACGTACCATTTTGTTGCAGTTTGATTGGCACACAATCGGAGAGGAAGAAACAAAGGTAGAGTTAAGAGAAATGAAGATGAAAAAGGAAGAGAGAGAAAGGTAGAGAGAATGAGGAATTTAGATAGAGAAAGAGAAGAGAGATCCTTGATTAAAGGGCAACCATGAATGGGTGAGTTTTTGAGGGAGGCAGAAAAGTGCGGACAATGAAGAGAAATTAATAAATATATATTAATAAAATTAAATTGAAAGAAATAAATTAATGAAATAAATCACGTACAAAAATAACCAGCTAATGAAAACCAAAGTGCAACCCAAAAATAAGCAAATGAAGGGCTGATCATGTCTACGACGAACTGTTCTTCTTGCCACGTCTAAGCTAGCTAACAAGTCACGTCCTACCATCTTTTGACTATTTTTATTTTAATATTTTTGACATTTTTGTCCTACTAATCCACTTTTTTTTTTTTTTTTTTTTACAATTATGGAGTTTTAAAATAAAAGATGATTTATTTTGTACTCGTTCACTAATTTAAAATTTAATTGTTTTTTGCAACTTTAACTATAACTTGCATTGATATAATTTGCAACTTTAAACTTTAATTGTTTTTTACATTGATATTATTTTTATACCATAAGTCTTAAGTCCAAATCACTTTACCCCATTTGAAACTTGTATTCCTTTTGTAACTCAAAAAGAAAAAAAAATGTATTTTAGCTAAAACAATTTTATATTAGATTGGATTTGATGATTAATTGATTATAATGCTAAGAAGAAAATTAAGTACAAAAATGTATAAATTATTACAATAAATATAATTCCTTTACTTTAACAAGAGAAACAGGGATTTAGCTCCAGATAATTAATCAAACACAAAGCATTCTCTTAAAAAATGCTTGAAAAATTAGAAAGATTCTAATGATTCCCAAATAAGTTAATATATCAACAGAGTACTCTTATTGTATAAGCCCAAATGTATTGGTCTCCACTTTCTTCCTTAATGTTAAAGCTGACAATAATACCAAAAATGGTTAGCAATACTTGATATGGGCTGGACTAAATCCAGAAGAACATACTTGATTTGTTAATTAAGTTGACATACATGATACATATACGTACGATTCTAATTCGAAATTTAAAAGTTTCAACCACGTTTTCAATAGACAAAATTTCTTCCAAATGTGGATAACTCAATTGTGGTCTAATGCTTTGTTATGAATAGGGGGTCGGGTTTGGGTCGGGTCAATTCAGATTAATTCCATGCCCTATGCGGGTCGGGTTTTGGTTGGGTCATGCTTGAGTCGGGTCACGTCGGGTCATACTTCTTATCATGCAGGTTGGGTTAATAACAGGTTGGGTGAACAATAGGTCGGGTTTAATTAGGGTTTTCACAGGTTAAAACGGGTTAGGGTAATTCTCAGGTTCGAGTCGGGTTCGGTTTAAGTTAATAATTTGCGGGTTAGAATCAGGTTGGGTCATTCTCGGGTTTGAGTCGGGTTCGGTTCAAGTCAATAATTTGCAGATTATAATCAGGTCAGGTCATTTTCAAGTCGGGTCATTCTCGGGTTCAAGTCAATAATTTACCGGTTATAATCAGATTAGGTCATTTTCAAGTCGGGTCATTCTCCAAGTCAAGTCGGGTTATGTTCAAGCCAATAATTTGCAGGTTACAATTAGGTCGGGTCATTTCCAAGTCAGGTCATATTCAGGTTCAACTAACTATAAATAGATAATTTTCATTTTTATCAATCTAATTATTTCCTTTGACTATAATATATAGGGCAATATACTAGGGAACTATAGTTTATAATTTGGGAAGATAATTATCTCCTTTAACCATAGAACAAATATATACTATATTTAACACTTAAATTTGAGAATGATGCTCCTTTCTTTTGCTGCCCTAGACCGACTTGGTCTCCTAGACAAAATGCTTTGATCAACAATAATAAGGTGCTCTAAATTGCATTTAAGGTGATTTGAATCAGGTTAGGAACAATTTGGGTAGAATTTAGGTCGGGTCAATAACAAGTCATGTTAATTTCGAGTCGGGTTAGTAACAGATCGGGTTGAATTTTTGGGTCAGGTAAGTAATAGGTCTAGTAAAATTTGGTTCAGGTTAATAACAAGTCAGGTTGAATTTGAGTCAAGTCAATAACAAGTCGGGTTGATTTCAGGTCGGGTTTGTAACAGGTTGGGTTAAATTCAGGTCGGGTTAGGAACGGGTTGGGCTGAATTCAGGTCAGGTTAGTAACAAGTCGGGTTAAATTCGGATTTTGACGGGTAAAGTCGGGTTAGGGTCAATTTCGGTTCAAGTCGAGTTCAGTGCAAGTTATAAATTGGTCGTTGTAAACCGGTAGATCGGTGCAAGTTGTAAACCAATAATTTGGTCGTTTAACAGCAAATTAGATGGTTCCACACACCCATTTGGACCCCCGTAGGGTATTAAGGACCATGGTAAACATTTTAACAAATTTTATTTCCGGGCAAAACAAAGTCCAAAAATTCCAAAATTGAAGGCTAATATCTACGCTTTTTGAGAAATTTTAAAGGTTTTGGTGCCCGGTGTCGAAAAGCCTTAATGTTTTAGGGAATACATCTCAGGGTCATATAATGACGTTTGGAACCATACATGATCATTATATGTAGTCATAAATGTTCGTGGTAGGCTTGAGTTAATGATATCGGAGCAAGTCTTAAATCAGTAAATTGGCCGTTTAAAGACAAATTGAATGGTTCTGCCCACCCAATTTGACTTCCGGATGGTATTAGTGACCATGGTAAACATTTCGGAAATTTTTTTTCCCGGGCGAAAAAAAGTCGAAAAATTCCAAAATTGAAGGCTAATTATCCACGTTTTTTGAGAAATTTTAGAGATTTCGAGGCCCGGTGTCGAACAGCCTCAAAAATTTAAGGGATACATCTCGGGGTCATATAATGCCGTTCAGAATCATATATAATCATTATATGTTGTCCTAAATGTTCGTGGTAGGCAACATTTAATGAAATCGGTGCAAGTTGTATACTGGTAAATTGGCCGTTTAAAGGCAAGTGGGATGGTTACATCCACCCAATTGGATTCTCGGAGGGTATTAGGGACCATTCTAAAAAATTCGGCAATTTTTATTTCCAGGAGAAAAAAAGTCAAAAAATTCCAAAATTGAAGGCTAATATCCACACTTTTTGAGAAACTATGGAGGTTTCGGAGCCCAGTGTCGAAAAGTCTTGAAATTCTTGGGGATATATCTTGGGGTCATATAATTCCGTTTGGAACAATATATGATCATTATTTGTTGTCATAAATGTTGGTGGTAGGTTTGAGTTAATGAAATCGGTGCAAGTTGTAAACCGGTAAATTGGTCGTTTAAAGGCAAATTAGATGGTTCCACCCACTCAATTGGACTCTCGTAAGGTATTAGGGACCATGGTAAACGTTTCGTTAATTTTTATTTCCGTGCAAAAAAAAAATCAAAAAATTCCAAAATTAAAGTCAAATATCCACGCCTTTTGAGAAAATAGAGAGGTCTCGGGGCTCGTTGACGAAAAGACTCGAGATTTTAGGGGACACATCTCGGGGTCATATAATGTCATTTGAAACCATATATAATCCTTATATGTTGACAAAAACGTTCGTGGTAGGCTTGAATTAATGAAATCGGTGCAAGTTGTAAATCGGTAAATTTGTTGTTTAAAGGCAAATTGGTTGGTTCCACCTACCCAATTGGACTCCCGGAGGTTATTAGGGTACATGGTAAACATTTCGACAATTTTTATTTCCGTGCGGAAAAAAAAAAAGTCAAAAAATTCAAAAATTGAAGGCATTATACACGTTTTTTAAGAAATTTTGGAGTCTTTAGGGCCAGAGCCTAAAAGTCTAGAAATTCTAGGGAATATATATCTTAGCTTGTGGTCATATAATGTCGTTTGAACCCATATATATTCATTATTTGTTGTCATAATTGTTCGTGGTAGGCTAGAGTTAATGAAATCGATACAAGTTTTAAACCGGTAAATTGGTTGTTTAAAGGAAAATTGGATGCTTCCAACCACCTAATTGGACTCCTAGAGTGTACTAGGGACCATGGTAAACATTTCGGCAATTTTTATTTTCGGGCGAAAAAATAAATCCAAAATTGAAGGCTATTATCCATGATTTTTTTAGAAATTTTGAAGTTTTCGAGGCTCGGTGTCGGAAAGCCTTTAGATTTTAGGGGATACATCTCGGGATCATATAATGTCATTTGGAACCATATATGATAATTATATGTTGTCATAAATGTTTGTGGTATGCTTGAGTTAATATAATCAATAAAGTTGTAAACCAGTATATTGGTCATTTAAAGGCAAATTGGATGGTTCCACCCACCCAATTGGACTCCCGCGGGATATTAGAGACCATGGTAAATATTTCGGCAATTTTTATTTCCTGGCCAAATAAATCTCAAAAAAATTCCAAAATTGAAGGGTAAAAATCCACGCTTTTTGAGAAATTTTGGAGGTTTCGGGGTCCAATGTCGAAAAGTCTTGAAATTCTTGGGAATACATCTCGAGGTCATATAATGTTGTTTGGAACCATATATGATCATTATTTGTTGTAATAAATGTTTGTGGTAGGCTTGAATTAATGATATCGATGCAAGTTGTAAATTGGTAAATTGGTCGTTTAATGATAAATTGGTAAATTGGTTCTACCCACCCATATGAAATCCCGGAGGGTATTAGCCTATAAGGGACCATGGTAAACATTTCGGCAATTTTTATTTCCGGGCGAAAAAATTCCAAAATTAAAGGCTAATATCCACGCTTTTTGAGAAATTTCAAATGTTTCGGGGCCAGGTGTCGAAAAGCATTGAGATTTAGGGGATATATTTCAGGGTCATATAACTCTTAAATTTGAGAATGATGCTCCTTTTTATTGTTGGCTTGGACCGACTTGGTCTCCTTAGACAAAATGCTTTGATCAACAAATAATAAGGTGATCTAAATTGCATTTAAGGTGATTTGAAATCGCGTCAGGAACAATTTGGGTTGAATTTAGGTCGGGTCAATAACAAGTCGTGTTGATTTCGAGTCGGATTAGTGACAGATCGGGTTGAATTTTTGGGTCAGGTTAGTAATAGGTCTGGTAAAATTCAGGTCGGGTCAATAACAAATCGGGTTGAATTTGGGTCAGGTCAATAACATGTCGGGTTGATTTCAAGTCGGGTTTGTAACAGGTTGGGTTAAATTCGGGTCGGGTTAGGAACAGGACGGGTTAAATTCAGGTCAGGTTAATAACAAGTCAGGTTAAAACGGGTTTGGTTCAATTTCGTTTCAAGTCGGGTTCGGTTCAGGTCAATAATTTACGGTTTACATTCGAGTTGGGTCATCTCCAGGTCTATTCATGTTCGGGTTAGGGTCTCACATACGCGGGTCAACTCGGGTCTAGGGTTGGTTTCAAGTCAGGTTTGGGTCACCATTTTTTCGGGTTCAGATGGGTCGATTAATAATCGGGTTTGAGTCGGTATTTCGGGTCGGGTCAACTTTTGACAGCTCTAGTTATGAATATCAGTCTTTTCCACACTACTAAGAACATAATCAAGGCTCCTGAGTCCCGATACACATTAGGGAAAAAACTCTAACTTGGGACATCAAGATTTCCAAGTTAAACTCTAGCCACTAGACCAAGTTATGGATACCACATTAATTGTAATCCTAATTGAAGAGGAAAAAAAAAAGAGAGAGACAAGAATAGACCGTGAAGAAACAACCTTAGAAATAAAAAAACTCATACAGCCTTACAGGCCAAATATGCAAAAATGCTCAACATCGAAACAAAATTTTCCAAGAAAGAGTAAGAGAAAGGGATATCTAGCATGATACAAAAACAAGAAAACTTTTATATCAAATTTTACTAGTATCTGCCTTTTGCTTACAAAATAATGAATTACCTCAACTTCTGATCAACAATGTCAACCTACAAAATTCACCACTTTTGGCTCTTGTTTCTTCTTTACCTTTGCATGATTATGATTTTCCTCGGATGCAAGATCACCTTCAGTGTTCTTGAAGTCATTCTTGACTTTTTTGTCTTCTTCCAACATGAAGTCATCCTCAAGATCATCCCCACCATAGAGCTTTGTAACTCGTGATTGTGACTGCTCTAGTATAGATACTGATGATGAAACATGCATTTAGAATCACCATCATGGTAATACAGATGATCAAGAAGCACAACACTCTCCATCAGAAAATGGCTACATTTCTGTTTTAATTCATTCTACATTGATAGTCCTTTATGATTTGGTAAGTCAAACTTTGGAATTTCTCAATTCTCATATTACCTCTATGAATTTCATAAGCTGTGTTTCATTTACTACCCCTTCATTATACAAACAATACATTGATACCCTTGTAAGAAATACAAAATACTTCTATATCCAAAAAATAAATCCTTCTTTGTAAATTTGGAATTGTATGGTGGTGATGAAATTTTTTAAATATTAGAGTATGGTATCTAAGCTAAATTCTTTTGAAATGATGCCAAATCAAAAGTGACCTACGGAGTATAAAAAGAGAAAAACACACATATACAAATATATTCTCAAACTTTATTAGGTCAAATCATCCCTTTCAATTACGAGATCCAGGATATGTGTTCAATTGGATGTTCATAACTTGAGTCTCCTGCATAAGCAATTTATATGTAGAAAAATATGATCATTACCTCTTTTATTTCCAGCAGCTTGAGCACTTCCTTTGTCTGGGCAATCTCTAGCTAAATGAGTTACACCACCACATATTTTACAGCACCCACCCTGCCCATCAATTAAACATTACACTTGTAAGAAAAATCCAGGAATATATAATGCAAAATATGTTGGTTTGCAATAATGTACAAAAGCTAGTTTTACCTTCACATATATCCCGTGTGTATTTTTAGGACAGTTCTTACTCAAATGTCCACGTTCATTGCAAATAAAGCATAAGGCAAACTTTGTTCCACCTACATATAACCCAAGAAAGGGAATAAAATTAACAGAGTTAATCTGAAGATAAACCGAAGACATGTATGTAATAACATCACTATATAATAAGTCTAGATGACCTTCAGTTCATGGAAGGTGATGTGGACTATTACAAGCAAATACGTTTAAATAACATAAATAAGAGAAAGCTTTTGACCAAATTCCAAAATCTCAAGTTCCACCTGATATCAGGTGTAAGATTCAACACGAGTACTTAAGATTTTACAAACCATTAAAAGACTCTGTATATTTTGTTTAATTTATAAACCATTAAAGATATGGGTAAAAGTACATCTATATTCATTAATACTACATTTTGCCAATCTACGCAAACCATTTGCAGTGGAGGGTGTACATGAAAAGTAAGAAAATACCGAGTTATGTGAGAGGAGCCAGCAATCATGATGAAGCATTTTCTGCCTAGGTGATTTGTTGGTAACTAGTAATGAGTTGGCGTGTGGAAAGAAACCACAAACCAGATAGAATCAAAAGAAGGAAATGATGTAAAGGCATAGAAAGAATCATGCAAGTAAAACTCTGGTACTTTGGAATGAGGAAACAAAGAACAAAAACCAGGGAAAGCAATGGATTGAAGCAATATGAAGGTTCTTGGGCCCAGCATTTATTGGCAGTTTGTAAAAATCGTTTTAGAAAAGAGTGACACCTGATATCATTCTAGACCACTAGACCAGGTTGATCTGCTCGATAAATTCACACTATACCTGATCATTAATTATATTAGATAGGGAGCTGAGCTTTGCTGAATAGGGTGCACATCAACCCCCAATATCAACCATGCAGAATATAGTTTCGATAATGGGTCTACTTACAAACACAGGACGATGTGAATAGATGTTCCAAATGTAAGAAAGAAAAAGACAGAATATTGACTCTAATTTTGCATTTCTAGCAGGGAATGACTAGCTCTCTCAGATCATATAACTACAAAAGACCAAGTCTCATCTATGATATTGAATATAGATTAAAAGAAAAGAGTTTTAAGTGTCAAACAGCTTAAGAGACATTCTCCGTTCGCCAAAACACAGTCTACCAGGGTACCAATATATTATAATCAAATTTCAAACAATTTTCCATATCAATAAATGATTTCAATCCAACTAGCATAAATCAAAGTTATTTTAACAACATTTCATACCAATAAAACAATCAATTTAAGACAAACATAACAGGGAGAATCAAATGGCACAAATGAGCATACCATCTTGCAGTGGCCGGGGGCACATTGACAAGGAATGCCCAGTTTCACCACAATTGTAACATAACTTTTGTTCAACAACTTCTTCACTCTTGTTGGGGCAATTCTTCAGACTATGACCGCGTTGTCGACAACACAAACATATCTACAAAACAGTATAAACATACACCAAAAACCAATATCAAAAACAGAAATTTAATAAACAATCTTCACATTCTAACAGATTAAACTTGCATTCTTTCCTCGAGTATTAATCATTACTTCATAATGTTACTTAAAAATCACCTATTACCCTTATGCCAATACAAAATCTTAATTGCAACCAATTTTCAATCAAATGCAAAAATTTACAACCTACCAAAATACCCAATAGCATATTCCATTCCATGTCACTAAGAAAATCAAATTTCATCAAAATTATAATTACAAATCCCTAGAAAATGATAGAAAAATACCTTATTCCGTTCCCATTGAGCTTTTTCAGGGCAATTTTTAGCAATATGATGCAAATCCTTGCAAATAAAACAACAATCACCAGGCTTTAACCCAGGAACTCTCAAGGGTTTTCTAGTAAAAGAGGATTTACGGGGCTTATCATCTAGGGTTCTGGGGTCAGATTTATCGCGCTTAAATTTGGGTTTTTTGTTCTTGTTCTTGTTCTTCTTCTTTTTGTTGGGGTCTTTAGGGGGAGTAGGTTCAGGTGTTGGGAATAAACCTGGGTTTTCTTGTTTAAACTTCTTTCGAGCTTCTTTCTGTCTTTTACTCACCATTTTTAACTTATCATTCAACTCAGAATTGATTGCTGCTGCTGTTGATTGAAGAAGAAAGTGAAGTTTTAGGGGTTTTTGCAGGGGTTGGAAAATGGGAGGAGAGAGAAAGTGGGAGATTTGCTAAAGGAGGCATTTTGGGTGGGCTGCTAATAAGAAAATATGTTCATGATATTGGAGATTTGGTGTGAGATAATGGGGGTTGAAAAGAGATCCAAGCCCAATTACTTTGGCGTACCCGTCAACCTGGTTCATCGTAGGATGTTTTTTATATACCTGGGTGTACCGTGTACCCAATTAAACCAAAATTAATTTTTACTCTTTATTTGATAATTAAATGAAAAATAATCATCAAAATGAGAATAAAATACTATGGGTGTACGTACACCCGGAGGTATATAACAATCTCTCGGTTCATCAAGTTTGAACCGATTTTAATAAGTGCAAAACTCGGATTGAGTTGCTACATTATGTGGATGCACTGTGGATTGAACTCTCAACCTACCGGCCTGATTGAAATTGGTCCATATTTAATAATCCTAATTGAAATTTTTTTTTTGACGAAACCCTAATTGAATTGAAATCAATAAATTGTGTGAAAAAAATTGAACAATTTGACCATTGAGATTTGGAATTTCGTCCCAAGTTCCCAACAAACTTCATTTAGGAATCGAAAGTGAAAAATTGAAAAGCGTTCTTAAAATTGCTTATGTGTCATGTGTACCTCTTCTTCCACCAGCATCACGCTACATCATCATTTCATATGGATTACTATCCTTGCTAGAAATAAATCATGTTTTGTAATCCACATTTATATATATATATATATATATATATATATATATATATATATATATATATATATATATATATATATATATATATATACATACATACATGTAAGTAGAGAATAAAGTAGGATAAAAACCAAACAAAATCCAAATAAGTTATTGTTATCATTGTATTCTAACTTACTGTTAAAAATGATTAAAAAAAATAAAAGAAAAATCAAAGAAAACTCGAAACAAAGCCTAGGTTGCAGTGTTGCACCACTAGTTGATAATAATACGTCATTCCTTTAATGTAGATTGTAGACATTGTCATTGGCTTTTCTTTAATTCTTTTATCCTCAAGGCCTCAAATAAATATGTTTCTGATGTTAATACTACTGTATTTTAAATGGAGCTCCCAATCTCATCACTATTATTCTTTAGGGTTATTTTAATTTTTAAAAAATGTTTCCAATTAATATTTTAAATGTGTTTCGATGGTTTCTACGCTACAGAAAACAGCAACTTCACCAGTACTCCGTACTATGCATGCCATATTTGAACGAAATACATAAAAACAAGTTATGCGGAAAATAGAAATTCAAAAAAACTTCAGAAATTCTTGTACATTAGTTCCTGTGGGACAATAACTATGAGCTGCCAATTTGCCATGAAAGTAAAATATGTGTCCCTAATTCCAAATCACCCGTGAAAATGAAACTCAAACCAATGAACCACACCCAAATACCCAATTAACTACACGGCTAACGATTGTTTGCATTGTAAAGCACACAAAATTGTGTGGCCAAAACTCACTTTAATATGTTAGCATATCTTTTTCTGTGCTCCCATCCAAATCCTATTATAAAGGTCCCCTTCATTTTTCATCTCTCTATACTACACACGATTCACTAGTCCATTCTCTTATTCTATGTTTTTATGTAGCTGTGAGTCCTGTGATTGACAGAGACATGTTGACTTCGCTCGATCTTTTAAAATCAACCCAATTGTTATAACTAGTAAGCTAAAACAGCGCGATGTAACAATTATTTTTGAACATAGAAGTTTTAATCATAGATTTATTACAAAAATTATACTTGTACAAGGTATTAGACATTTTTTGTTAAAGAACAAAAGATCTGCTTCTGGCATAAACAAATGAAATATAAATACAAAATAAGTCTATTAATCAACCAAGCCTTCACATATTATCTTATGATGGTTCGACTTCGATCCTAATATGACTTAGTTTTATCTCTGATACATATATATATCACTTGATAGTTAGTACCCCATATCCATAAGCCATAACCTCCTATACAAGGATAAGGGATAACATTACAATGTTCATTCCAATGGACAGCACTGATTAGCTAAAACTCAAAACGGTCCACAACATTGAACATCGTCAAATTCAGGGCACTTAGAAAACAAGGCATCGCATATTCGTTCACTAAGCCCCAAATTTGGGAACTTTAGCAGTCGAAATCTGAGCTAGGAAGTGCTCAGCCACAATTCTTCTCTGGATTTTCCCAGTTGCAGTTTTCGGTAAAAAGTCAGTGATGAAAACCTTCTTAGGGACCTTGAATGATGCCAGGTTTTTCTTGCAGAATTTTGCAACCTCTTCCTCATCAATCTCCACTCCGTCTCTTGGAATAACTGCGCAATTTATCTGTCCATGAAACAGAAATAAATCAACAACCATCCAATCCTCACAAGTAAATAGCAAGAACCAGCACAACACAAACATAATCAGGTAAAATCAAGCAAACAAACTCCAGATTCTCAATGATCTTCAACGACGAATAACAAAGAAAGGATATTCATATAAAACCATAGATTTTCACTATTATAATGGCAAGTATACAAGTAATTAGACAGCTGAATTTCTTTCCTCCCCTAGCTTTTTGCAGCGCCTTTTTAGTCAAGTGGTTGATTATCCATGAAAAAAGCATACCGTGATTATTTATCCACTTAAAACATCATTAACAGAGCATACTAACAAAAGTATCAAATCCCTCAAAGCATACGTCATTATCAGGTACATGAATGGTAGTAGAAGGCAATGATCAACCAATTTCGATTCTGGAAATCCAACTGAACCACACATGATCCTAGATTCCTAGAAGCATCAAACACAGCACCTCATGCTTTTCACCTCTCAACCACATCATGAGGCATGTAATGACTCAACTACACGTGTATCCGTCTTTAAATGTACAAAAGTACTATCCATAACATCCAAGTAAATAAGCTTACCACATCCACAAGTCATATGTATGGCATGATATGCAAGACATTTCGTGATTAATTATGAAAGGATAGAGACTAACAACTAATCTTGCTTATAATCTAAAACTCAAGAAAAGATGGAAATTAGTTCATACCTCCTCTCCATACTTGTCATCGGGGACCCCGAAAGCAACAGCTTGCGCAAGGTTAGGATTGGACAACAGCACTGCATCCACCTCAATTGGTGATATCTTTTCCCCTGAAAAAATTGGGTAGAAAACAACTCCACATATTAGACATTTTAACTTTTAACTCAACTTGAATGTGTACAATCACACATGTGGAATACCAAGTGGTGCATTATTTACAAACCAATGAAGGTGAAGAAAAAGCAGCTCCATTGAATAACAAAAAGACAGTGACTATCTCTTGGCTGACCAAGAAAATTAGTTTAAAGAAAACTTAGTTTACCAACCATAAAAAGCTACGTTCTATCACGGTTTCACCTACCCAAAGCGGTTATTTTAAATAGGCAAGTATAAGATGATTCGATTTTACACTCTCTCAACATCCTTAAAAAATAGACCTCTTTTGATAAGCTTTCTAGACCATGCTGCAAACTACAGAGTACTCTAACCAGATTTTTTAAAATCCATGTACGACTCCCTTCAAAATGTGATCTTTTATTTAAAAACAAAGGCGAATGACACAGATATAGAGACTGGAGCTACCAGACACACGTCTAAATAAAATCGTCATAGGTAGGTAGAGGATTAGGAAACCCATATCCTAACAACTTTCCTGCTTGGTCACATTCCATTAATATAAACACTTGGATTTTCTTACGAGCCAAGGTTCTAAGACATGTAAAGCGATGGAGTCATAGTCTAATTATAGCCGTAACCACTTATGTACATAGCACATTAAAAAAAATATATTTATATCAATATTCCTATAATTATTTAGTTGACAAGATTTATACATTACTTAACTTTGGAACGACTTGACAACTGCGCTAATTAAGTATCCTCGCGTAACACGCTTGACAAACATAGTAATTTAAGTTATTTAACACATGCTCAGTATTTTTAACACAAACAAGAACCCAAGACAATTCTGATTTTGTTACACTCTGAAGTAATTTGATAAGAAACTTTGTCGATCTATTCCCTCAAAAGTGTGTTCTTATGACAAACCATAAAACAAAATTTCAATAATAATTATAAAATTCACCCTTGATAATTAAAAAACACAGTTAATAGATTAATGCTTTTAAACAAGTAGAAGCTAAAATAAGAGATAAATGATATATACCTCCACGGTTAATGAGCTCCTTGATCCGACCCACCAAATGCAAATATCCATCTTCATCAAAAAACCCAACATCACCGGTATGAAACCACCCGAATTGAAAAGCCGCCTTATTTGCTTCCGGGTTATTCTTATACCCTTTTGTAACATTCGGGCCCCGAATACAAACCTCTCCTTTAGACCTAGGCCCTTGAACCTGACCGTTTTCATCCAAAATGGCCATCTCTTGACCCACGGGTCGCCCAACCGAGCTCGCCTTATGAGGCCCATCCTCAGGCAACGGGTTAGAACACATTAAATGGGTTGCCTCAGTCATTGCATACGCTTCCAAAACAGGCGCACCGAATGACTCCTCAAGCCGGTTAAGATTTGTCGGGGCCAACGAAGCGCTGCAGCTCCGAATAAACCGGAGCTTCGGGTAGTCCGTCTCGGGCTTACTCGTGTGGCGATCAAGGATGATCTGGTGAATCGTTGGAACAGCGGTATACCAAGTAGCGTTGTATTTCTTCATGTCACCCCAAAACGTCGACGCAGAGAATCTACCCGAGGAAGGGAGAGTCACTGCAGCGCCAGAACCGAGTGAGGTCAGCAGTCCAGCCATCAATCCATGAACATGAAACAACGGCAAAACAATCACAGTCGAATCAGACTCAGTAATCTTATAGACAGCTTTAATGTTCCGAACAGTTGAGAACAGGTTAAGCTGACTCAGTGGCACCCCCTTGGGACGGCTGGTAGTCCCGGAGGTGTGGAGGAAGAGCGAGACATCGGAAGGGTCGTTCACGAGTGAGGACACCGAGTAATCGGGGTTCGATTCAGGGTGAGTGAATGACAGAGAAATTTCGGAGTCAGATGAGGTGAGAGATGCAGTAGCATGAGGAATACTGAGCTTCGCAGCAGCGGTTTCGGCTGCGGTGTTGCCTTCAGGGGAAGTAAGGAGGAGTTTTGACTCTGAGTCTGAAAGATAGAACTCGAACTCGTCTGTTGTGTAGGCTGCGTTTAATGGTGCTGCCGTGGCTCGAACTCGAATCACCGCCAAGAACATAATCACAAACTGTCCATTCATTGACATAATTATAAATTAGTTAAGATTTTTTTTTTTTAAATGTCATTTTTCACGGAAAATTGTTACTCTAATTTCTTAAGAATTTGCTTTATACTCACTTTATTCCCTACTAGCTTTATTCCTTAGTATTAAATGGTGAAACTTAAACATAAGCGTGTGAAATCTTATTATTTTTCTCAATATGTTGTTTCAAAGTACGGAGTTCTTCGTACTAATATATGATTAATACGGAGTATAATTCTTCTGAAATGTGCATTAATTAAGGACAAATATTAAAGAACAGAATAAATGTTAATTATGAAAACCAATTTGTTTAAACTGCGAACATTACGAAATTAAAAAAGCAGAACTTAAACAAATTCATGTTAATGTTACATCAAGTGGATTGGTAATACCGTATTACCAAATCATTTAAATTACAAATATTGTATGTTTATTAATAAAAATAAAGATAAAAAATTAGATTTTAACAAAATTAGAAAGAAAAAAAAAAGGCAAAACCATTGAATTTACAGAGGATTAAGGAAACTAGAACCCTGATTTTTTTACCAACCAATAAAAATTGAGGAAAAAATAATAAATCAATAAAAATGGTGTACCTCAATGGTGTTAGGAAAGGTGAGGGCGACAACATCGCCGGGAACAACGCCGGCGGCAAGGAGGCGGGAGGCGGCATGTTCGACCAATTGGTGTAAACGAGAATGGGTGATATCAAACTTGCCGGAAACGGAAATTGCTCTCCGGTTAGAAAATTTTCCGGCGACGTCCTTAAGAAGTCCGGTGAGAGTTAGATTTTCCATATTAGGAATTTGATAACAGAGGAAAAAAAAAATGGTGAATTGGGGTGGGGTGATGATGGTATTGGAAAGATACGAGAAAAGTTGGTTAGAATGCAGCGAATATATAGGCGGTCGATGGTGCGTGTGGGGGTCACAGCTTCACAAGAAGAGTTAAGACAAATTGCTTACTTCCTCGAGGCCTCGATTTGCTTCGTTCTAAAATACTACTACTATTCTGTCTCATACTCTATTTTTTTTTTTTTAGAAACAAGAGTTACTATACTCCGTATTTTTATATTTTTTTTAATAAGCTATAGTTTTATTTTTTAAAATTTATTTTTTACTACTACTCCTCTGTCGTTCACGAGTCAGAATTCAGGTAGATATCAAGTAATGCTTAGAAACTATCACAAATGGTGCAAGACTTAATATTACTACTAAATATGAAAATTGGATCAAATCGGGACGAATTCAGGTCGTTCGAATTTGGTTTGGGTCGAGTTCAGGTTTCTCTTAGTAACTTCAGGTCGGGTTCGGATTGAATCAGGGATTACAAACTCTTAATAGCTTGAAAAAGAAATAAAACATTTGTTGCACATAATATGTATCATCCACTTTGAATAAAATGTTGCATATACTATGAAACGACAATAGTAAATGTATTATTTAAATTTATGTTATTTATATGAGTATTTACTAGAATCACTTCAATGCATTATTTATTATTATTTTTTTGTGATATTATTACCTTTGTTTTATTAATTGCCATAAAGTGTATTACTCATTTGGGAAACATAAAATAAGTAAATAAATAAATTATTGCAAATCATAAAAAATAGAAGTATTATATTACAAGTCTATAATCTATGTGTTATTCAAAAAAAGTCTATAATCTATGTTTATTGATAATCAGAAACAGATATATTAGAGAAAGGATGGAGTTATTTATATTTTAAGTACTCATATGTTTTTTAAAAAAAAAATTGAGTCGAATTTTATTTTAAATGGTTTTAAAAAGTTTGAGTTACTTCTACTTTTTTTTTTTTTTTTTGAAAGAGTTACTTCTACTTTAATCCTAGAAAACTCCTCTTACTATCTTACTACTCCTCCACATAATGTATTACTTTTTCTTATATTTACTCACCTATTACCTCATTTCAATTATTTTATTTTTAACATTTACTTCATAGACACAAAAAAATAAAAAAATAAAAATTATTACTTTAATTAATACTCCCTTCGTCACTTAATTATATATGTCTATTTCTTCTTAATATGTGAGTAATTAAAGTTAGAAATAAGCATGTAGTTAAGGGACGGATAGAGTAACAAAATCGAAATGTTGTTATAGCCACATTTAAGAGCAAGAAAATAAAAATTAAAAAAATGGCTTTATGTGAGGTCACGAATAACGTAAAGGTTGATTCTTCTTTCCTTTTTTGGGCCCTGGTGAGGAAGAAAGTTTGGATTTGAGGAAGCACGCAAGTAAATGAAATATAGGAATATGGTTTACAAGTTTTTATTAGTCTTCACTAATTGGGCCCACGACTAATAAATCCCCGACAAAATTAAGGGAAATAAGTTGCTTAAACTCAAAGTCTTAATAAGGTGTTTTAGTTGAAACTTGAAAGAGATTTGAGATTCACATACAATTACAAGTTTGATGCGAATGAGAAGATTTAGCTATTCTAGTTTTTTTTATTTTTTTTTATTTGTTATTATTATTATTATTATGAACTTTTGGTCAAAATTATTCAAAAAAAAAAAAAAACACAAATATACATATCTTTAAGTATAAAATGAATTAGAATCTATTTTCTTAAGTTTAACTCGGTGATTTTGCCTTAAATTATAATATTTTAATTTTATCATTACCTTTTTTACAACATAATTTTATTCTCTTTGATAACGATGATACTCAAGTTTTTCTTATTTGCTATATTCAATATGTAGTACTCCGTAGTATGTTTATTCTTAGACATTTATAATGCTAGATGTTTTCATTCTTGCATGAAGTAAATTAAACATGTTATTTGTTGTGTCAATAGATTATATACAAGTACTTTTCTTCATTTTAAAATCTGACTATATATATACATGTATACTGAATTTTGACGTAGAAGGATGGTGTGGCATTAACTTAGAGTCTTAGAGGTGGTGATTAGCCTCTAAAAAACTAAGATAATGATAACTATTTTTTTTTACAAATTCTTAAATGGACCTGGTTCACACTAATTTATTGTGGACCACTAACATTAGAGAAAGTATGGTTATTTTATTAATAAAAAAGGGGTCACTATAATTAAAAAAAAAAGTCACTATGTTGAAATAAAAATCATTTTGGTTATATATAGGCCTAAGTGGTTATTTTTGTAATGAAATATTTTATATACTGATCAATATGAATAATAAAGGCCACTATGTTAAAATTAGGATAATAGCGTCGTATTTCAAGTTCACAATATTATTAAACGTTGTAGTAGTAAAAATAAGGTTACTATGTTAAAAATAATGGTCACTATGTTCCATATAATGTCAGTTGCGTGTGTATAGACATCGGGTTCACAATAATATTATTGTGGACCAGGTCCACGCAAGTCTTTTTGATTTTTTTTTTTGAGAAAAGATAATGATAACTTAAATGTGTATTTGTCTAGATAAAGGGAGATTAATTTTTCCATTTATGTCAAAAAATGGGACTCAATATCCCTTTTTAGTTTTATTTGATTGGATAATGATCAAATATATAATTATCTTGGTTACCATTCTAGTGTGTATGACGAGGTCCTATGATTTATTATCAGTAAATAAGATCCCATTACCCCTTTTTAGTTAGATGGTGATTAAAAATGTAATTACCTTGGTTTTCTTTTTGTGGGTGTGACAGGGCAATATGAGAGAAGAGTGTTTAGGCTTGAAGCACTCACATTCATCCAACTATGCTTTATGTAATTTGAAAATATAATTATCTTGGTTACCTCTCTAGTGTGTATGAGGTGGGACTATGATTTATACCAATACATAATATGATAATAATCCCTTTCAATTTTGTACCTTGATTGGATTGTGATTAAAGATGTAGTAATTACCTTGTGAAGTAAATTGCTAAACATATTAGTTATTGTGTCAGTAGATTTTTCTCTTTTCCTCTATCTTGTTATCGAGTAGTAATTTGACTATACATGTATAGTGAATTTTGATTTTGAGGAATAAGATGAAGTGCGTATGATTTAGACATGCGGGATTAACCCTTATAGTAGAAATTAAATAAGATAATGATAAACTTAATAACTTAAATTAAATATGCATTAATCAAGATAGAAAGAGATTAATTCTTCCATTTATATTCATATTAATGAGATTTAATCATCCGATATAATGTGTATGAAGTGGCACTGTGATTTACTACTCCATATTAACAAGTGAGATTTCACCATCCCATTTTTGTTTGATTGGATGGCGATTGAAGATGTAATTACCTTATTGGTTTCCTTTTTAGTGGGTATGACATGACACTATGACAGTATAAGAGAAGAGTATTTATATATTGGAGCCCTCCCACTCATCCAACTTTCCTTTAATAATAATATTGATTAGAAGGCATATATTTTAAACATTTTTAAAAGGATCGGATGTATAGAATAATAATCCCTAAAAAAAACTTTTATAAATAATAGGAAATCATAAATATTTCGGAGTAGTTTTTTTTTTTTTTAATAGCAAAAATATTTCATTAATTAAAAGTCATACGACATTTACAATAGAGATTCGACGTTAACAAATACATAAGATATTGAATCAAATAGAAATTTTCCTTCATAAAAACTACGATCGTCGAGTAGATCTTGCAATGCGGAGCATCTCCCGCTTATATCGCTGAAAATTACATCCTTGTTGGAGAGACAATCTAACGATCCTTTGTAGCCGTGAGGATGATTTCCTTCTGATTCATCTGTTTGTATTCGAAAACTTAATAACTTTTTCACCAACGAAATAATTTCACGACTATCCATTAGATCTGCTACCATGGATTCAAAACTAAGAAATTTCTCCCTCGAAAAGAGGAGATAAACCTTGTCTTTCGAAGGAGGTCGAAAAACCCTTGTCTTTCGAAGGAGACCGGAAACCCTTTCTTTCGAGGGAGAAAAGTTCCTCCCAAAAGGAGGAAGTATTATTATAAACCTAAAAAAACAATAAAGAAACAATGATTGGGGCTTTCCACCGATTAAAATCGATGGAAGCCCCTTCAAAATTCAACAACGGATGCTAGGGTTTTGGAGAAAAAAAGGAGGAGAGAGAAAGGAATTTACAATTTTTAATGGAATAATATTATTGTAATCTATTACGGAGTAGTTTTGAGAGAATAATAACTTCTTGTTTACCTTTTATTGTTAAAAAATAAATAAATTGTGATATCCTTTATTTTTAAAAGACAATTTCATTACATAAAAGAGTTAAAAAGTTGTTCCATATAATCCCATAAAAAAAAAAAAAAAAAAATAAGAGGAGTTGTTCCATATGAGGGGTATTAAAAGTTTAAAACCTCTCCAATTTGCCAAGAACATATTCATAGTAATCTTGCATATTAGCACGTTGGAAATTTGAAATATTAAATATGGATAAGGATTACTCAATTCAATAATATTTTTTTTAAAAAAAAAAGCAAAAGTAAAGCTACAATATCAAAAAGGTAGCAATTTCATATTAGCATATGATTTATGTTGGGCCTTTATTCACCATGTTGGTATAGAAATAAACAAATTCTCACCTATCACACTTATCAGTCACTCACTCCGTTTTTATTTGTTTTCATATATAACTTTTAATCAAATATAATGAAAAAAATAAAAAGGGGCAAAGGATAAAGCATATAAACTCATATTTCATTGTTTTCCCATTATTTGAGTCTATTATTAGCTAAATTACATTATAATAATTATATTGAGCGCGTATTATACATAAAACAAAAACAAAAATAATGGGGATGAAGCCAAAGTAACAATTTTAATAGGTTTTGCAAGGGGGAGGGGAGAATTGGGGGAGGTATGCCACGTGGAGGCCATTGATTTGAAGAGATTGGGTGTGTGTAGGAGAACTCACGAGTGTCGTTGGCCTTGAAAATTACATTACCACATAACATCTTCCACCATAGTCTTATT